ACCTTTTTCCATGGTGGCCTGAGCACTCTCCTCATAGAACACATCATAATTCAACATTCATCAAAGAGATTAAAATAAACAAGAGAGTACTGTTAATTACATACTAAAAATGTTTGATAAGACCACAATGTGTTCAACTTAACTTAGCAAGCTTTTCAAGAGCAAAGGTTGGTGGGCTTTATCCTTTGCCTGAACCATTAATTCAACTGAAGCAAAGGATGGTGGGTGCTGTCATGGTGAACTTTCCTTATGCAATATGGACCATGTGATTTTTTTTTCTTTTGTCTTTTTTGGGGTTATTTACTCCTTTGATAGTTCCCCTCGTGTATTGGCACATGTCCACTGCTTCATAATCAAGCCCCAGGAAAGCTGTAGTTAACAAGAAATGATAGACATGCAGAAAAGAGGATTGGCCCCAGCCACCAGCATCAATTTTCTTTGAGCAAATTCTGGCAGGTCACCATCTGTTTTTCTCTTTCAAATTCGTTTTTCTAAACTAAAACTGGCAATGAGTTCCACCTTTGATGTTCAAAATTTCGATTCCAAGGTTCAAAACTCATTGTTTCAACAGTCCAGCTGTATTCCCAGCCATTTGGGGTATCATCAGCATGTAACACATTGTGCATGTTCATACGAAAAGGAGGAATTTAAGAAGATTTGGGTACCTATGTCATTGTTGAGGGATATATTCTGCTTTACTTCTATATGTGCATGGAAGAATTTAACACATGAACCACATGCATTCATCATGATGTTGCTTTCAAGTGGAAATCCACGGTAATACAGGACCAAGCGTTGAGATTCTGTTCTCTCTTCGATTTTATATACTTATTTGCCCTTTGTACCACAGAAAGCAAATGGGACCATTTTTAATCTAAGATTCAACAATGGCGGCATTCTCATTTCCAAATTCCAATTACTTTAAATAGAAGACTTTTAAGTATTTTGTCTGCTACTAGATTGTGTTGATTTAGTCTATAGTCTGTATGATGATTATTATTATTTTAACATTATCATTGAAATTTTAGACGTTCAAACTGACTTTGACCTAAAACATTCAATAACTTCTAATTTTCGAAACTGGATTGACTAGAAGAATACACCCACTTGCCATCGATACAAGATAAGGCTAAATGCTGAAGTACTTAGATGAATAATCTTCCAGATTAGCGTAACATAATCATTAAAACAGTTGAAGGCAATTCAATGATAATTAGTGTACTACTTTACGCCTAATGGCCATGATTTGAGACCAAAGTGGCTTTCATCTTTTTCTAGTCCCTTCTCCTGATGGTGCTTTGCTTTACCACTTTTGTATCTGATAAGTAAGGCTGAGTCAAGGGGTGTCTCCCTGGATGCTGGGGTTGTTCTCTTTCTCTTTGCTCTCCTCCTTTTGGTTTTTGGTTCAAGTCATGTCTAGTCAATCAAAGTGTCATGATCTTCAAAGTGAATCGCTTATTCTTCACGTGCATATTTGTGATGTTCTTGCATGCTTTTGATTACATTGCCACGAATTCCCAACTTTTGATTGGTGATCTTTGGGGGAAGAAAGGTGTAGCGCAATTGAATTTCCAACATCAATTTGCTGGAGGCATCATCATTTTCCTCTTTTACTTTATAATCCATGGTTGAATATCATAATTTCAAGATGAAATTCATTAGAACAGTTTACTAATTCTTTGCAATTGAACTCCTGTTTTTTCATTTTACTCAATTAAGTCATGATCTCTTAATAGAAATATAACAGACTTATACGTAAAATCTGACGGAGCCTATTGACCAAACGCGATGAAAATTACTGACTTGACACCTCCACATTTTGTGTTAATCCCACTCTTTACTGCACATCAGCCAATCAAACAGCGACAACAAGTGGGTATTTTGGAATCCAAATCTTGTGATTCTTCAAGATTTGTTTGGCAAATTTCCTCCAAAAAGAAACAAGATTGCTGCTTTAATCTCCTTGCTGTTAAATCGATGAAACAATGACCCATGATCACCAAAAAAGCATCACAGAGGGGAAGTAGGACATTGCATGATGAGTCGGCAATGCCTTTAATCAGAAGATAAATCCATCAAAATTTCCAGGGAAGAAGACTGTCCCATCAGCCACTACACCAAGTTCTTTCCTGCCTATTATGCCCACTGGGTTCAGATTGCAACATCAAGGGATCCCCTTTCGTTTGGTTCCTTAAAGCAATTTCAGTATTACACGTAACAACACCCAGAAACTAAAAGGGAAAAATTACTATGTTTGCAGGGATTATTTAACAAACAGTGTTACAATGACAAAGAATCTTCCTTTTTCACTAAATGCGTTTCCTGTTACTTTGTGGCAATCAACTTATAGTCTATTCCAATCTTCACTCTGCGTTTGGTAGTTTACTTATATGGAAGAAATTCCTGATGCATTCATCATCATCATTAACGTATATGAATGGTGTTTGATGATAAGCAATTTGATATTCATGGGCCCAAACATCACTTAGAAAAAGCAGGTTCACGAACCAAATACACTCAAGTTTTGAACAAGATTGAATCCAGGAGCGACCTTGCTCGGCACTGGACTCCAAACTTCGAAGTTTCAAGGATTTCATGATATTGTAAAAGACCTCGTCCGGCTGTAGGAGTATAGTTCATTGCACCAGTTGATGTAGCTACTTGTAGTAAGGCCCTCGACAAGATCTTGACCAAGCTAACCACGCTAAGTGGTTCAATCAGAAAGCTCCCGATGATCCGATCTTGACTAATCTTATAAACTAATCCTAAATAAATTACTGTTGGTGAAATATGAAAGTGGCAAATCATGATCATGATTACACCTGCCCATTTTCTTCATAGTGATCAAAAAAATAATTGCATCAGCTATAGGCTATAGCTATCAAACTGATAAATTCAAGTTCAACTATCTTTTCCACTATTCTAACAAAGCATTCCACAATTCCCAGCTGAAGCCATTGCCACAAGAACATTGGGAATTGGAAAATACAAGTGAAAGAAGGAGAATGATCCGAATTCTTCTTCTGTCGGCTTGGCCCAAAGATATAACCTAAGAACAAACTGATAAAAGCAAATACGCTGATAGATTAGGAAACAGGTCACGAGGGCTGACTTGGGTGGGTGTTGAGAGGATGAGTTTGAAAACCCACTAACTATTCGTGCTTGAGGAGTGAAAAGGTGGGCAATGTAAGCTAGAAGTGTGGGTGCTGGTTGACAAAGCTGATAAGTGAAGTGTGGACACATTCTGAAGTGCGGGTAGTGCTGCTACAATGATTGGCCTTGATTTTAACAGGTACCAACGGGAGGCTGTTGAAATGGGGTTCGAAGGAGATTCACTGTCATTTTAAACACAGAAAAGAGAGCAGGCAATCCCTCTTCCAGTGGAATGAAACCTACCAGCTCCAAAGGGCAAGGGCAATGGTTTTATTGGTTGAACGTTTGAACATCATGCCAAGCACGAAGAAGGAACAACTCTAGTGGTAGGATAGATCTATTCTAATAAGAACAAATTGAATTTTCCCTCTATCTACAGTTTAAATTGAGGAATAAAGGACTGCTCCCAACCATTGACAACTTGTTCAAAAAACAGCAATTGGTTAGTGCCAATTCAACATCTATGAACCTTATCCTTTCAGATTTAGCATCTGCATGCGCATATATTTTCTGATTGAGAAGGATTAGAGATATGTGAGGATGAGTCAACACAAACCCTTCATCCAATATGTGACAGCAAATGAAATGGTATCAAATTTGTAGAAACCTTTTAACCTTGAATAAGATGGTGACAAAAAATCCTTATGAAAGTGCTAGTTTGCTTTTCTTTCTGTTACTTTGATCTTATAGAACATGTTGCAATCACTCCAATCCCAGTGAACCTCAAGAAACACAACTCTTCCAAGTAAGCAAATCACCTATGATGGTGACTTGCTGGATTTATAGCAGCAATGTATCACAAACACCTATATGAAAGATGATGTCAGATCTTTAGACATGATAAGCCTATTTTTGTAGTGCAAACCTTAATAGCTGCGTTTATGCATCATATCAACAATTGACCTGTTCAGAATGAGAAAGGGTGGAGAAATGCAAAGCCTCCACCATCACTAGATCAAGAGCCAGGTCATCAACCATTTTCACCACATTCATAACATGCTCATCTGAACTACCTTTCCAGCCCATAATACCATTATGATATATCAATCAACAAATATTCTAGTAGACTGGACAATAGTGCAGGACCAGAACGTCTAAAGTTCTTCAAAATACTATGTACAGAAATCCTTGTGGGGCATTTTAACCTGTGAAGACCAAGTGATTTGCAATAATTGTGCAGCTGCTCAATCTCATCCCTCCATAATCTAATAACTAACACTACATCACAGAAGTAGTGGACTAATATATTTCTACGTTGGTTATGACTAGTTATCAAGGAATCCGTCCTGTTTAAATTTTCGGACCTCAAATTTTCCCTCAAAACAGAGGCTACATTTCTCCATAATGAATTAATGGAAACTAAAACTTAAACTCCACTTGGGAATTTGTTAGACTTCACACACAACCCTATTCATCATTTGAACCTCTAGATGATCAGCATGTAGCAATAAGAAACATTGGTATGACTCAATTTAGTCAACCACGTCAAGCAATTCAAGTGAGCTTCAATTCATTACCTACCGATCAAAGCAATTTGCAGATGCAACAAGGTCAAAATCAGAACAAATTTCAATCAAATTGACAATTTGTACATTGGAATGTTGGCTCGTTATCTTTAATCCATTTACTTCATCTACTTTTGACAAGATTGACAAAGAATCAAGCCAGAAAGAAATTTGCACTTGGGCATATATTTAAGTGAGAATGCTTATAATTCATAGATTACGAAGTTTAAGTTTTGATAAAGCATAAAGCACTCGATCAAAATTTTTAGCTGCTTGAACTTATCTACTCTAAATACTGAACTATGACCAAACTTGCATAAGAAAACTAGAGATAGTAAGGAATTTTCAGTTAATAACTAATTATCATTATATGCATTCAATATAATTTATACAAATGTACATTCAATATTGTCTCATCCACCAAACACAATAAATTGCAGCACCTCTAAATGCAGTTCATCCAGGAAAAAGTGAGACAACTTGGAGAAGAAGAAGAACATTACCAAATAAAGCACTGCCTATTTTCCTTCCTGCCTTGATAATCTTACGTCTCAGTCATTTTTTCTTATTAATCCCATAACTCCCATCTCTTTGCAAGGTCACATCATAAACCTCAGACTTCAAATTACCTTTTCTCTCATCAAAACTACCCTCCTCAGCAGCATCCAACCTTCTCCTCATCCCTTTCCTCCTCCATTTAACACCGTTCCTTTTCCCATTTCTCTGTGAATTACCATCTTCATTCCCGGTCTCCTCGCTCTTATTATCAGTCAAAAGCTTAGTACTTTCATCACTCTCTCTACTTCTCAAATACGGTTTAACACTATGAACAACCCCTTTAGGAAAAAACCTTGCAGAAGGCAACCCATCAACAGTTTCAAACAACTGGGGCCCATCTCTGTCACTCCACATATCGAAACCGCCAGGTTTCTGGAATCTGTCAGCCAAGACTTTAACTTGCTCGTCAGCTGAAACGGAGAACAAGTTGGGTGCTTTTTCAACGACTTCCCAGGGACGTTCAAGTTCGGAGACGGCGGCTTGGAGCTCAGCTCGTTTGCGCATTTCATAGATGTGGCGTTCACGGGCAAGTCGGGCTTTGAGGAGTTGCTTGGCTTTCTTGGCTTGCATGCGTTTCCATTGCCATTTGGATACTCCACCTGGGTAAGTCCTGGGGCCACCTCCCATGCGGATTACAGTGTTGGGTCGGGTTGGGGTGTGGAGGGAGAGGCTGGAGAGTTTCGTGCGGAGGAAAAGGGGAGTTGGGGAAAGGAGGGATTTTGCGAAGGAGAGGCTCTGAGATGGGGCCGGGACTGAGAGTTGCATTTTCAGGATTGAGGACGTTGAATTTGGAGCAAAGAAAGGACTAAAAGACTGATCTTTTGTGGCCTTGGGGGTGTTTCAAGAGAATCAAGGAACAAATTGGCAACAGCTCCCTGAAGCATGGTACAAGATTGGATCTTGTGGTTAGGCTTGAGCAGGGATTATCCATAAATACCATGTATGTACAGAGTGTTCGTGTGCACCACATTGAAGAGCACCAGTGGTCTAGTGGTAGAATAGTACCCTGCCACGGTACAGACCCGGGTTCGATTCCCGGCTGGTGCAAGGAAAAGTTTTTTCATTTGATTCTCATCTTACTCTCCTTATTGAACTGGGGGATACCTGCTTGATTAAATTATATCAAAGAATATATAAAGAAACAGCCAAAAAGTAGATTAAGAGTGACTGAATTACAACTTGTATGCCTTACGAAGGTGGTTGAGCAACGCCATTCTCAATCTCTTTGTTCCCTGTTTTTGTTACTACAAGCTAGCTACACCTTTCTTGCTGCGTCCCTTCTCTCTAGCATGGTGCTTCAGTCACCATGATAGCATCATGTGCAGCTTCCAGGTTAGAAAAGGGTAAAATTCTTCATAGTTAGTCAAAATTAGGTAACTCCCACAATGTGAAGTTGCACGCTAATTTTCACCTGTCTGTCAATATCGATATCTTCAATTGGACTGTTTGGGTTGGGATAGAGTTGATCCTGGATTATAAGGAAGGGCAAAACATGTTTCAAACACAAAAATTATTGGTTCTCCAGGCTGAGATCAGACCTGCAATGTGTCATCTTCCGAAGCATAATGATTAGCTGAGGGTCTGTGGCCATGTCAGACGAGCTGTAGTTTCTTGTCGTTTGACAACCAATGGAGGAAGCCATTTGAAATCCGAGACACAGAAGCTAATGATATTGTTCGTTTGGTTTGATTTAGGAAGGATTCCAATTCCAAACTTGACAACAGGATTCCTTGGAGGCTGTTACTGTCTGAAGTTGCCTTATTAGGGAAGAGTTTCAAACATTTAGAAATTGAGCTTAGACGCGTGATGGTTCTTGATGTGTACTGTATCCTGTACGGATTGAGCTGGATTTCATTAACCTGGATCCGAGACCGGTGGAAAACCAGATCATATATTACCTGACAGTGAGTAAATTTATCCCAACTGGGCAAAGACCGCTGCAGGTGATGATAGTCAGGCCTCCATCAATCCCATTGCACGTGTAAACGACCAAGTTGTTGCCCCACTGGGATTGATCATCACCATGCAATGGGCTGGCACAGGATCTCCAGCAAAACAATTTTGGGTTAATTATGGTTTGGCAACCTAATGCAAGCTCATGTTTTATAATATTTCAGAAGACAGTAAATTGACAGGACCTTCTTTATTCAAATAAAACTCTGCTCTGGGTTCTTCTCTCTCCAAGATGTTCCCACGCAAACAGCATCTGTATTATTTTATTCCCCTGTTTAGTACTGTTAATTTAGTGAAATAAATAGCAGCATAAGCTTGTTATGATAAAGAACTATGTGCTCCCTCGTTCTGTCTCAAGTTTTTGGAGCATCCTACCGGGAACTTAGATTACAAGTTCCTAGGTGAAATTAATGGTCATTTCGTTGTGAAGTGATTCCCTGCTATAACACTACCGACATATATGTTTATTCCTGCGTCATTATATGCAACTCCCATACCATTGAATCAACCCCATTATTAGTTCTTGCACCTGTAAAAAGGTATAATTGATTGACTTGCATTAGACATGTTTGGACAAACCTTGATGTGGTTTGTTGAAATGATTGTAATGATAATTGTTGACACTAGTAAATTTACGATTGTCTGTCGAAAAACCTCAAGCAGCAGGTCATGGAAATTTTGAATGTTTCCCCAGACAGGAGATGGTCTCTTGTAATTCTTCAAGTGTACATTATATTGTTAGAACCATCTGTTTAAACCATTTTGCTCTAAATTTTTTGTCCTTGATGGAGATTACTCCAGGACAAGTTATAAATAAAAGAAATGGGAATTTGCAAAATGTTCCCTGCAATCAAAAGACATCTTCAGGACAATGCCCGAATCAACTTAATTAACGTACTGTTGAGCCAACATTCGAACAACATCTATCAGACATGTTTATGTAGCATTGTTCATCCAAGACTTGCCGAGTTATCCTGTAGAGGAAACATCACCCTCGGTTTAATAAGCTAAATAACAGTGCAACTGATCCAAAAGGTTAGATGGTATTCAAGATAACCATGCTTGCTTTGGCTTAATTTGAAAAGTTATGCAATGCCAAGTCGCAATCTCCCACTTCCATAACTCCTTTCTCTCCTCCATGCAAGGCTGGAAGTTTCAGAGTACGAGTACTGATTTCCTTCTTAATACCGCAAATGCTGCCTTGCATCGGTTTTTCAGCGGCTTTTCCGTTTCAGATATAGGAATTAGATCCAATCCCCCGCAATTGTCACTATGATTAATTCAATCATACTGCTTAACAAACTTTTACAAATAAACATATTAGAGATCTTGTTCCCCTTGATTAAAGTCTTAGTTGTATTTGTAATATCCTAATGCATGCACGTGTATCTTCCGCAATATCCCCTACTCAACAGACAACTCCATAAAAATAGATGAAGAAAATCGTAATAAATTATGCTAGGAATCTAGCAACGGGAACCTTCCATCAGACCTCATGCATATGGGATTTGTTTATCAGCAGTTCTTCTGTGTATATATATATATACCCAAAACCCCCACAAGGCCACAACCAGACTCGATTAGATCAAAAGACAGAAGCACCTTTAATAACCCATCATCCAATTTGATTCAAAAAATGGCACAGTGTTTTCTTCTTTGCTTGATCTTGGTAAATGGTTTTGTGGCCGTGGCTAGTGACAATCTACAAACCAAGCTCCGGTCTAGTTTAGCTGATCTCCAACATCCTCCAGCACTTGCTCCATTCAACAATGAAAAACCAACCAAAGCTGAAGCACCCATAGTAAGGAAACTTGGAAAGCACCAGCCCAAAGTAGTCAAGTCCTTTGGCAGTGCACCAGCTTCTAGTCCATTCCAAGCTCCCCAACCAGAAAAGGCCATGCACCATATTGGAGAGAGCCCCTCCACAGGTCACACTGCAGCTAGCGTTGAACCAAACAATGGAGAAAATATAAGTGTCGAAGGGCAGACCCTCCGCCTACAAAAGCATCACCGTTCCGTGGACAAGTCTGTTGCCGGGGGTGGTGTGATCCTTGGAGGTCTTGCCACAACTTTCCTTGTGGCAGTTATCTGCTATATAAGAGCAACTGGAAGACACGAATCACAGACTCATCAAAGTACTACTGAAACCACTAATTGAATTGTATGTATACAAAGAGATGGTATTTTAAATGCCGCCACCTGTTTAAAAATGTAAAGAAAATCAATTGCAAGTTATTTACATATGTGCAGAGAGTCAACTTTATCTTTCACTGAAACCGGAGGTTGTTGGCTTCTTGCTGATCAGAGCCGGTATGACAAAGTGCCTTGATCGCATTAGTTTCTTCTGCTATTGAGTTTGTGATTAATCTAGTTTACCTAAGTTATGGTAAAAAGCTTAGATTAAAAGGGTAACTTTCCATATCGATTTACTACCAAGTTTGCCCAATCCTGATTGGAGAATCAAAATTTGCAGTGAAATTCTAAGCAGGAACTTTAACAGTGAAAGGCCATTTCTGCCATTTCATGGCAGCCCAAAGTCCAGTAAGGCAGTAACAGTTTTCCATAGAAAAAGAGGGTGAAAATTCCTGGTGACTGACAACTTGGGCTCGTGTCGGTACGCATTGGGCTGCGACTAAATCAAACACTGGGCCAACTCTTGGCCTCAGAAACATAAACAGAAGGTAGTGGAAGTTGAACTGTTTAATGTCCTTGCCGCATAAGTTAACTTCACCGTTTTAACAATCTGAAACCTGATCAACCGCGAAGCGTCCTATTTTTCTAGACTTCATCAAAAAGCTCTTAAGAAACCAGTAAATTGTAATCCATCGAAAAGCCTCGAAGATGTCGAACGAGAAATCAGTAATGGCGGTGATTAGAGCAGCTAGACCTTCCTTTAGGAACGACCACGACAAAATCGCCTTCGCCGTTCACGCCTCTTTTCTTTCATCCGGTTTCGTCCTCACCGCCACTGGCCCTCACGCTTTAGCCGACAACGCTCTCTCCTCACCCTCTACTGGTATTCCGCTTTACTCTTTTTCTCTTGATTGTTGTTATTCTTCCACTTTCTTTCTGTAAGCTGAAATGGTGTCGGTGTTTAGATGAGGTCGGAATCGATAACTGGAACGAATTTGATGATCATTACGCGTTTGTATATACGAATCCCGAGAAAGGGTCGAAGAAAGTGTTGGTTAAATGTCTGGTAATGAATGGCAAATTGCTTGTTGATGCTTTCGCTGATGGCGGTTCTGAACCCGTTCATCTTGAAATCGAGTATTTGTCTTTTCCTTTTTCTTTTTTCTTTATTTAGTGAAATTGTCTCGAATTTGTTTAATGTTTTTGGTTTGAATTAACGGTATTGTGGCCTGTGGGGTTTGTTTGGTCATTGCAGCATTGATAACTATGTTGGGGAGAATGGGAGTGGAAATTTCTCTGCACAGTATAAGAATTTGGAGAAGATGGTGAGTAGTTTGGACAAAGAAGTTATATCCAAATTATATGGTAAATCTTCGAAGTCAAGTTCATCGAGTGATCCTCCTAGGTAATTAAGCTAATTTTGGCTTAGCCATGTTAGAAGGAGCTGCTAGCAGCGCTTCTAACTTTTGAATTCTCCTGAAATGCATAATTTTTACGTACTGTTTTCTTTGTGTTGTGTAGTCTAGAAACAGGTGAAGGATCGAGGCGTGACGTAAATGATCTCGGTGTTAGAATTAATGAACCTACAGGCCCTCAACCCCATCCTTCAGGGTATCTCTTGCACTCTCCTTATCAAAATTGGTTTAATCCAGTTGATAGACAATTGTTTATAGCATCTGCATACTTCTTTTTTGTATAAGTAAGCTTTTATTTTATCGCAAGAAGAGGGAAAACCCTGCTATAAAAGTGTGCAAATTGCTGAGCAGTGAAATGTAAGATGAATTACAAAAAGCATCTGCATACCTCATTTGGGCCATTCTTGATATTTTTCTAGCTCTACATGGACTGCAGTTTTCTACTTGATAACCTTACAAATATGAAACTTATGGTACATTTGAGATTGGTGCAACAAATCATAATCATGTCTTATTTATTTGTCAAAACTTAATTACTGAGGTTAGACTTATGTTCATATAGGTAACCAAGGTGAGATAATGCATGATATCTGTTAACCAACTTGTAGTTTTAGAATTCTAGGAATTATGTGGTTTCTGGACAATGCTTACAAACATGTTAGATTTACCAATTTAGGCAAGGCTCAAAAGTAGCTTTTGTAATTTGGCTCAAGTCCTTTCTAGAACCAATTGTTTGTGCACTATATTAGAACTCCAAATCAGTGATTGCTATGATAGTAACTGTTGTATAATATTTTAAATAAGATTGAACATGTCTTATAAACCCTTCTGAATTTTAAAAAGGTATTATGAGACGAAAAGAAAGGAAAAAAAAAAAGGAGTAAAAATGCATACATTTAGTATGAGAGGGTAGATTTTTTTTTTTCAGTTCAATGAACTTTTCCACATGTATGGTTCTAATCACTTGTCCGCATATCTCCATTATCTTCCTCCCAAATATCTCATGCGTTCATCAAAATTATAAGGTTTGCTTTACAGGGTAGTTGTTCCTCCAATTTATCCTATGGGTGGTAGTGATCTGTTTCCTGGACCTGGTGCTGGAATGTATCCTACCAGGTATATTCAGTCTCAAATCAGTGATTTATTGCCCACTGTTTGATTTAGTTTTTGACTTGAGTGTGTTTTTATTTGTTAAATTCCTTTCAGGGGTGATTTTGGTGGTGGTGGCATGTTTCTAGGTTTGTAACATATGTCTTGTATTGTTGGTGAATTGCATGCAAAGTTCTGTGACTTAATTATATCTTATAATGTGGAAGCAGGACCAAATGATCCTCGTTGGTTTGGTGGAGTTGGTGGAGAGCCTGGTTTCCATGGAGCACAACCGTGAGCTCCCTCTCTCTCTCTCTCTCTCAATCCATCTCTCTTTGTGTGTGTTCTGCTTACATTATACTGGAGATTTTATTTTGGATTGGATTGTTTGAAACAGGGGTGTTCCTCCTGGTGCACGTTTTGATCCATATGGCCCCCCTGGTGTTCCTGGTTTTGAGCCCAATCGATTTGTCAGGTGCATCAAAACTTGACATTTCGCAATTACAGTTTGGACCCATGGGGTTGATTCTGATTCACTTATCATACCAGCAATATCGTGACGCGTAATTGCCTTCTTTTCTCTTGCAGAAATCCGCGGAGACCTGGGGGTGGTACTCATCCTGACCTGGAGCATTTTGGAGGTGGTTCAGGTTTTATTTAGATGTGTCTGAAAGGTTTCAGTGTCCTTTTCTTCGCCCTCCCTTTTGGGCTGTTTTTCTGTCATGGTGATGGAGAAGGATCTAAAGATTGTACATTGACATATGATACAAGTTATCCAGCCGTATGAAGTTACTAATCTTGTGAACGTAAGGAACAACTATGTCATATGGACGAATTTATCAAGTAAAGAGTTTGTTAAAGCAAATATGAGCATTTGACTGATGCTTACAGAGTCAAAGTTTGAGAACCTTTCATTGTTAAGGTTGTAGAGAATGTAACAAAGAAACAAGAAATCAAACGTGTATATCTTTGCTATTCTCTATGAATTATGTCTTTTAAGTTTCTTTTGGTAGTTTCAACGTTCTAGCAAGTAAATTTATTCGAGTGATTGTAAACGTTGGCAGTTTTACAACACGCGGTGGGCGTGCCGGAGTGGTTATCGGGCATGACTAGAAATCATGTGGGCTCTGCCCGCGCAGGTTCGAATCCTGCCGCTCACGTTTTACTTAATTTTCACCCACCCAAAGCCTGCAGATTCCCATTTTTGTTTTTTAATCGTTTTTCAGAGGGAGCTTATCCTGACTTTGTTTCATGGAAGTTGCACCATCAATAAAAAATTGTCTTCCTCGTCATCATTCATTTTAAAAAACAAACAAAGAAATGAATAAACAAATATCCACCAAACCCTCTCACACTCACAGTCAAGTTCCCATCAAATCATTCATCAGTTGGGTACAATATAATAAAGTGGTTGGAACTGTTCCAGGGCCATAAACTACCAAACCAAACCACAAGCAGCCCTGGTCTCCCCTACCCGGTTTTCTTCGTGCTCATCGAAGTTACTTAAGAAAAGGATTCACTTGAAGTTCGCTCAGATTGCAGTAATGAAAGTTGATTTTTAATCGAAACCCAACTCGTTCAACTTCATCATTAATCATCATAAACTTACAGTCAGCCAGGTGTTACTCTTCATCATGTTTGCACCAAATTTATGGCCGAAAAGAGCTTGGCCCTTCATCAAATTTATTAGCGCAGACCCAAAGCTTAAAGTCTAGCCATAAGATAGAAGAGAGAGGGCCTAAGATCACTCATCTATACGATGTGAAATTGTGGAACGTGGGAGACCCTCTGCTGCACAATTTTTCGATGAGCAGTCTAAATCAGAGCCAAGCCGAACATCCCATGTATGCACTTTCATGTCTTGTCTAGTCGTACAAGTAGGGTAACGTCGTGGATCCCACATTTGCCCACTGACTGAACACAGGAAGTTTCGACCCAGTTCTTTGCCTTTGTCCAGTTTCCCCCACCTTCTTTCTCTTTCTTTAGAAACGTAAACAAGTTGGAAACGTGTGGCGCGTCTCTTTAGTTTTGTTCTCTAGAAGCCCCACTCTACTTTAAATCCGGGCACTTTAGATCAAACGACAAAATACAGCCACCTTTCTAGATTAACAAATACACATGATGTGACCTGCTGCCATTAAATTAAACCCATCATTGGGTCTTTTTTTATTGCTTATATTCATTTCACCCCCTCTGATCGCCTAGGAGACTACATAGCTAAAAAATCACTCACGCCAAAGGCAGGGGGAAATGGATAGATTCCAGCGTTTTCTGCTTCTTCTGTTGCTTGTAATCTCAGTTTCTGCATCTCAGGTGCCCCTGGCTTCAGAGGCAAGGCCACTATCCATCCTGCCTGATCAACAAAGTAAGAATCTGGTTCTATAGTTCCTGCAACTTTTCAGTGATTGCTGATTCTTTCCCTTTCAGTCAGACTTATATATGGGGTTGTTCTTTTCCTAATTTGCAGGATACTCGAAAATTTTTGCTACTCTTGGTGTTGTCTGCAAGTGTTGCGATGGACCTGGAGGTGAATGCTCCACTACTTGGACCCAACCCTGCTCCCAGCTCAAGTGCCTGCCTTGGAAACTACATTAGAATCTTTCCCAATTTTTGTTCTCTCTTTTCTTCCCCGTTTTGGGTTTTATGTACATATATCTACATTAATACATACCAAAATATTGGATCGCGTTCAACCCCGTTGTTGCTCACCTTGAGAGCTTAATTTCCAGTATCCGAATCATGCCCTGAAGCTAATTAAAGCTTCAAGCTTCAGGGCCTTTTCCTCCTGATTTCTGACAGCAATCATTATGATCTAGAACTTCACTTAGATTGTACTTCAAAGGTCCTTTTGAGCAACTGAGTTGTTCAAATACCTGTGATCAAGCAAACACTGATCCATACGCGTAGTTGGCCACCAAGGCTGATGGCAAATTCCATCTGACAGCAAACCTTTCGGTGGCTGACCTACACTCAATAATATGAACAATTATAAATATCATTGACTTGGCAAGTCTTTGTGGGATGAAGCAAAACCTATTCCCATGCATTGATTGGGTGACCACTAAGTCCTAGAGGAAGCATTTGTTTATTATTTTCTCCATTTTAGCTATTAAAGCAGTTCCTATCTAAGCTACTTATTATATACGGTATAGAAAAAGAAGAAGAGAAAAAAAGGTTTTAGGTCATTGACTCCGTCAATGAAAATGTCTTTTATGAAAATAACAAAAGCAAAAGAATTGTAAAATTCTAGATTATGTTTTAGTGACTTTATTGTCTTGTTTCTTGGATTTATTAGGTAGTAATTATTATGTTCACATTTTATTTTTTCAAACGTTTTCTTCAATGAATAAACTGTATTACTAGGTTACAAGATATTCAAGATTCCTTTTAAGACTTGGGTATTTCGAAAGTTTGAGGAAATTGCCCGCAGTGATCAAATCAAGAAAACAAATATTCTCTTCTTGTTCTATATGCTTTTCATAATTATGTGTTAAGTGTCTAACAAATTTCTTATATTAATGGCACCTTTTTCATTAAATTATTTGTTTTTACTATTTGGGTTTAAGGTTCAAGATTTAAAGATTTAAGAGTTTTTTTTATAATATAATATTAGATATGTGAAACAAAATTATGAAAAAAAAACCCTACGTGAAGTAAAAATATTTTTTTCGAGATAACAAGCTTCCTTCTTCTTATTCACAACAACAAAAAAACATGGATAATATTTTTTGGATTTGAAAGAAAAGAAATTTAAATTTTACTTTTTAAATAAAAAATTATATATTAATTAATAAATTAAATATTTAAATACAAATCACTCAAGTCTATTCCTACAAAAAATTTAAAAAAAAAAATCAATTGTTGGCATGACTCCAAAGCAAGGGAAATTGTGGATTTGAAGCCCTGGCCAAAACCAGGCCTGCTGCCTGCCACGTCCAGGCTCCTGCCCTTCATCCTCTTGGGCTTATCATCGTCTTCTGCCTTCTCCACCCAGAAGCGGCATATTGGGCCTGGAAGAAGTTTCTTCTGTGATATGAAAAAGGTAAAACAAAATACAAGAAATGGAGTGTAGACAAAGCGCACATGCAAGTCTCGTTTGATCCTCCTCGTCTGCACTTGCCAAATTGGGACATCGCTATCATGCTCGTAACGTGTTTTGCTTTCCGCTTGTTCTTCTCTTCGATCTTATCTGTGGAATAAGCTTTTCCAGTTTTAGCCGTAGCTTGCCCCTTTGTGCTCTTCTAGTACTAGCTGTTACACTTCCATCCACACGATTTCACCCACAATTTTTCCTTATCATTAGTTTAATCAATTTCAGGTTCTCGTAAATCTTAATCAGAATGAAAATCGAAATATTAATGAATATTTTACGACCCAATATCTTATCAAATAATAATATCCGAATTGAAGCATTTTAAAAAAAATCTTATTGTTCACAAAATCTTTTGAAATTTCTTTTTATCCAATGAAGATAATATAGTGTTGTATTTGGAAATAGTAGTATTTAATGGTAAGAATCTTAACATAATCAGCAAGAAATTTAATTGGCAAACAGGGTTGAATTTGTCAAAGATTGGTTGCCCTATTTTTTTTTCCATTGACAAATTTGCTTATTTTATCTTTGCATTTAATGTGATGCTTATCCTTAACTCATTGCCATAATTCAATTATTAAATATATAAACTGAACATGATAACTCAAAAAACTGTTTTCCCATTTGATTCCTATACTAATTGGATAGGAAATATAGCACGAATGGTATGAGATGTAGGGTTATTAAAGAAAATTAAATAAATTAAAGAAGATCTTCAATTTTCACTAGGCAAACCCATGGAATCTAAAAATTTTGCCTTGACGACACTGTACCATTCAGTGCCTTGAGAAACCTGACAGATTCTAGGACGAGGACAACTCCATGTGGCCCAGGATTGGACACATGTAGACCATGCGGCGACCCACAGTGGCGAGAGTCGACACAACTTCCCCCCTGACCCCTCCGAGCCCTTTCCACTTGGAATTCCTGTTTGTCTCCTTCTGCTCCCCCTTGTCCTCTCTTGCCATGTGGACCCTTCCTCTTCATCACTAGGAGGAAATTTCTGTAATTCTTTCATTGTTAATGTTAATCAATCTCGCAAATGAGGAAACTTGCTTATCCAAAACATTGGGGCCCTGCCTCAGATTTGGACAATACCAACTGATTTCTCTATAGATGTTTGTGTACCAGTTGTATTCATTAAGATTAATTTGAAATCTTTATAACATATACTCTGTGTCTGACACTGTTTATCCCATCTGCAGTTCATGTAACATGGTCATTAGTTCCAAATAAGCAGTGGAAGTCCTGGAACCTGAGTGAATGAAGAAGACCCACCAGGGGTTGGGCCGACAGGATAAAGAGATAAGGTCAGAAAGAGGGGAGGTCACCGATCAGGTCAGGTCTAGTGCTATCTTGGCCCTGTGCCTGGATCTGGAAAGTAGCCAAAGTAGAAAACAGTTAAAGCAAGAGCAGGAGAAGTCAAAATTGAATTCAACAGGGAGACAGTTTCTCCTCCTCTTTTTCACCGGGAACAAATTGTCAAGAGATCATCATTTTCTCAACTTATAAGGTTTTAGAACCTTATCTATCCTATACAAGATTGAAACTCGAGCCAGGGACCTTGGAAAGGAAAAGCAAACGAGAGGTGGGGGAATTGTTATTATCCACTAGGGTGCTCGTGGCAGTAACCGGTCGGGACTTGGATCCAGGACCCACTTACACAGTTATTGCTCCAGGTGGCATAAATCTGTCTGCCTGTCAACAAAGTAAAAGGACTGAGAAAAACAGAAAACGAAACATAAGGCTGTAAGGTGACAGGTCGTAGGCGACAAAGAGGAAGAAACAGCGAACACTCTCTCTGGGTCATCAAAGCCATAAGAGAGTTGCTTATTTTTTATGATTTTCCTTTTCTTTTCTTTCTTTTAAGTCGACCCGAAAAGTCATTGGTTTATTTTAGTATAAATTGGTAAGCGAGGGGGACGGTTTCGTTTCTCTCTACAACTAAATAAACACTACTACAAACAAAGCGCAATCTTCACGTGTCTTTCTTCTTTATTTCTTTCTCTTTCTGTTGCGTACTGTTTTGTTCGCCTCCTTCCTTCCTTGTTTTCCTCTCCTTTTTTTTTTCTTGCTTTCCTTCTATAGTTCTCTTCTTTATCTTTCCGTTTTGTTTCTTTCTTTTTTCTCTTGACGGTGCTTCTTTCAATCTACATATCTATATAACGTATCTCACTTGGGGACTAAGCAAAGATTAATATAAAGATTGATAAGAGAGAAAGGATAAGACTTTTGCTGACGGAATGGAAGGAAGCAAAGCAGTGGGGTCGTCTTCTTCTTCTTTTACTTCAGAGCTCTTTGGTTCGAAAGAGTCACCTTCATCTTCCACAGGGATTTTCGGGTCTATATTTGCTCCTCCATCCAAGGTATTATTGTCATGTTCAATGACATCTTTTCTTTTAGCCTTTTGGGGTTTGAATTCTCTTTCTTTTCTTTGGTATTCAATGTTTTTGTTAATGGCGTTTTTGGTTTATGTCCCATGGAGTCCCAAAGGTTGAATCTTTTTTTGTTATTCAATTCTAATTGAGTATTTTGAGACTATTGTTTTTTAGTTTTTTCTTTCTGAATAGGAAATTTTCTTTTGTTGAGCGTTACGAGATTGATTAAAGGATTGATGAGAGCAAAAGATTTGAAGTGTCTTTGGCAAATCTTAAAATTGAGGTTGTCTCGGGCAGTGAAAGGTGAAAATAAGACTGCCAATGAGAGCTGATATAAACGTGATTGATGCTTAAAAGGCTTAAGACTTGACATTGTTTCTTGTTATTTGGTATTTTCCCCCATACCTTTTCAAATGTACTTACTTGGTATGGTATTTGCCCTGTTCTCTCATAAGTAAATATCTGCATGGCATGCAAGTTCTCTTTGAAGGCCGATTGTCTCTTGTGCTCCTCTTTTGTCTCAATCTTTTAATAGTCTGGTAAGCTTTCTAGTTTTATTCTGCAAGTTTTAAATTCTCCTGTCTGATGTTGGTTCAGGTGTTAGGAAGGGAGTCTCTGCGTCCTGATTTGATGGCTAAAAGGCAGGATTCTCCGAATGAGGCCGGGAACACAAAGCCTGGAGCCCCAGGTTTGTGCATCTGTTCTAGCTTTTGCATGGTTTTATTTTTAATCATACTGATCTTTAATGTTTTCTATATATAAGACAAGATTTTGAGTCTATTATTACTAACGTTAAAAAAAAAAAAGATTGTTTTTTCCTTTTTGCTGAAATTCCTTCTCTTGTCTATGGTGATTGAATTGACAGTATTTGGTTAAAATCATAAAGTCAAATGTTCTCATGGTTATGATCACCTCTAGCTTTATTTGTTGAATAACAAATTTACTGATTTATCTGTATCATTCTTGTGATTAATAAGATTGAATTGAAGCAGCTGCTCCCAATTACTTATAGCACAACACTATATCTCATTTCTACCCTTTCTTTTATCAGATTTAAGCAAAAGTGCTTTGCACAGAGAGAGAGAGAGAGAGAGAGAGAGTGATGCTGTCTTTGCTTGTTTATTTATGTCTGATTCTGATTCTCTAGGTAGTTCTTGAATTCCTGAAAACTCTATCTAAATCAACCCAGTCTTGACAGGTAATTTTTCTAAGGAACTTGAAGCTGAAAACCAGAGCA